CTGGCCCATGATGGCACTCTCATAGGAAGATGAGAAGCAGGGGTGGTGGTGAACAGGCTATTAGGTCCTAAAGACTCAGTAGGTGTTTAATACACATAGATCCAGGACCAACCCATATGAATGAATGAAAAGCTTTGTTATGTGTTATGGGGATATAAATACAAAAGGGGCCTGGGGAATCCTGGAAGTGGCAGAGGATGAGGGTGCTGCCCCAATGCCTATCAGGCTGATGTTCCCAGGGGCTTCTCCTGGGGGAGTTCTAGGCACAGTTCTTCCCCATTCATCTACCCTGAACCTCCCCTAGCACTCTGGGAACTAAACACCATGGCAGGCAGGCCTCATTAGCCAAGCTGCTGACGCCAACGCTGGCTGACTGATCGACTTGGGCTCCTGGCCCAGGCCTGGCCTCAGAGTCAGAGCTGTTCTTCCCATGAGGGCTGTTTTCTAAATATACTGGCCAATGAGGGATGCTGGAGGAACTGTCAGAGCTCGGAGCAGAGACAGGCAGGGCTGGAGGGGAATTAGTTTTGGGCGTTAGGCGTACTATGGCCTACAGATGGGGGTGCTCCCGTGTCCCCTCACCCTGTGGTCATAGACACATGGACAGCTCCTAAAGTTTTCATGTCTCGTGTCTGTCACATACAGTAGTAGATGTTTGCTATTGAGTGAATGAGTGTTCCATATGTTAGTATGTTACATACTAACATATACATATAAGGTCATATGTAGAATAACAAATACGTGAATGAATGAAAAGCACCTACTAAACACCGTGTCAGGCTAAGCTCTAGGGTTCCAAATAGAAAAGAAGGAAGTCCCTGCCCTCAAGAAGCTTACATTCTAATAGGGAAAGAAAACACCACAGAGGAACAGTAGTCAGGGAAGAGAATTACAGTATAGAGTGTCACAAGGAAGGTGGGCATAAGCATTTATTAAGTACCTACCATGTGCTAAGCATCTTACAAATTGTATTTTATTTGACTCTCACAAGAACCCTCAGACGGAGGTGCCATTATCTCTATTTTATAATTGAGGAAACTGAGGCAGACAGAGGTGAAGTGACTTGCCCAAGGTCTCACAGCTAGTGAGTGTCTGAGGCTGGATTTGAACTCAGATCTTCTTGACTACTGTGCTACATAGCTGCTACTAGAGACAGGAATATCTGCCTTTCCCCTTTGGTGTCAAAACTCCCATTTTTGTAACACTGTGATCTAGCTGGCAGCCAGGATCGAGCACTGGGCCTGGAGTGAGGAATACTGAATTCAAATCTAGCCTCAGACACTTACTAGCTGTGTGACCCTGGGTTAGTCACTTAACCACTATTTGCCTCCGTTTCCTCAACTGTAAAATAGAGGTAATAATAATAGCACCTGCCTCTCAGGGTTATTGTGAGGATCAAAGGAGATACTATTTGTAAAGTGTTTAGCCCAGTGCCTGGCACATAGTAGGTGTTTAACAAATGCTTGACTCCTTCCTTCCTCCTAGCCCTGACGTTCTACGGTCTGAACTCCAAAGCCTCCCTCAGTTCTGACCTTTTATTTTTTAAAGGTCCCTTCTAGCTCTGACATTTGGCCAATTGGCACCAACTGGCAGGGGCAGTTCTATGCGGCTGTGGAGACTGAGTCACAGATATAAATAAGGTCTACGATATGGTCTGTAACCCAGCAAAGTCTTAATACACCTCATCACAATTTGGGGCTACTGCCCGTCATCCACTTGCACATATACATTCATTTGTACATGTACAAACACAACCTTGTGTATACACACACACACATTGATCCTTGCACACTTAGATGCCCTCCCCAGGTCAGCACAGTCACATCCCCCCCATGCATACAGGAATATACTCCCCCGATAGAGGCATTCATGGACATATATGTGTGCATACATGGGTATGTGCACACACAGACACATATGTGTATTGCATATATGCACATGTATATATACATGTGTATATGTGTATACACACACGCACGATTTGACACTTATTATGTACAAATTCCTTTACTGGGCTGTAGGACAAAAAGACAGTTCTTGCTTACAAAGAATGTATGTTCTACTAGGAACTATGCCGTGTATACAGCTCATACAAGATAAGGATGATGGGTGATGGGGCAGGGATAGGGACAATTTTGAGGACTGAGAGAGCATTGTCCCCTGAGGACATCAGGGAGGCTTCATGGAGGAGGTGGCATTTGAGCTGGGCCTTGAAGGGTGGACGTGGCTTGCCTAGACAGAAGGAGGGACGTTCTGTGTGTAGGGAGAAGTCCGAGCAGACAAAGTGTAGGCCTTGTCAGTGTTGGCAGACGAGATTGGAGAAGCTAGTGATGGCAGGCTGGAGTGTCTTAGGTGTCTTAGGCTTTTGTCCTGTTGGTAGTTGGGAGCCAGTGAAGATTCTTGAGCCAAGGAGTCAGAAGCGCACTTCAGAAAGATTTACCAGACTCCCTAGGGGCAAGGCCTTGAGACAGGGAGAGGGAAAGGAGATTCTGAGCTGCCTTATAGGCTTCCCTTTGTCCCGTCGCTGACACTGAGGAGCCCCATTAGTAAGCTTTGGTCCAGCTAGTGTCCTAAGCCATCTAAAGCAAGCAGGAGGGAAGAAGGGGAGATTCAGTGAGGTCTCTTTTGGATTAGACCTGGGGCAGGCTGGATGCCAAGACTCCTGTGTCCTGACTCACCTCGCTCACTGCCTTGCTTTTTCTACATCAAACTCACCACTTCAGAGGCCCCTAATGAAGGTGAATAAGTTAAGGGCTTTGAGATCTCTGGATGAAAGGGACTTTGGTAAACAACAGCCATATTGTCATGGTGACTTGGCAGGTGCCTCGGGGTGATGACCTCTCCCTTCCTGGGCCCTCAATGGACAGAGTTGCCACCATCCCATCATTGTGCACCTTTGGATGGTCCATACTAGGCTTAGAGATGTCCGAGTACTGCTGACAGGGGCAGAGGGACTCCCCATCCCTGAGACTGAAGGCCCCTCCCATCCTGGGCAGTGACCCAGGGGCAGGAGCTGTCTAATCCCTATCCTTCACCCATGCTCTCATGTCAGCACTGACGTAGGCAGGCCCGGTGCCAATGCCTGGGGGAGCTGGTGATCCAAACTGTTTTTGTTTTTTTCTTGGAGGCTGTATTTCCCAAGAGGCATAGGTCTCTTATATTTGCATTACCCTCCTACCCCTCCCCGACACTCCCAGCCAAAAATCAGTTCAAGGGAACAGAATGAGAGCAAACCCCATGACCATCCCTGGGAAAGAGGACTGGGAGGCTGGCTCATTACGGATTCCCACTCCTATCCAGGCCTACAGATGGGGTAGGAGAGTGCAGAAGCAAATGTAGTAGAAGCAGCATTGCATGATAAGAGAACTCGGGTTCAAAGGCTCAGCTCTGCGGCTCACTGGGCTTCCTGATCTTCAGACTAATTTCTTCACCTTTTTTTAAGCCCAGAAATTCCAGAGGCAGATTTAGGCTTCACATAAGGGGAAAACCCAACAGCTAGAGCCTTCTAAAAGGAGAACTGCTGCTTGGGAAGGCAGTCTTCCCTTTCCTGGAGGTCCTCCAAGCCCAGCTGGCCTCTTGCTAGGGCTATTGTGGGGGGGATTTGCCAGAGGTGAGGAAGATGACCCCAAGAATTCTTCTGCCTTGGATCCAATGAAGCCTAATAAAGCTTCCATCATTAAGAAGGCCAAGGCCTCTGAGGCACGTCCCCAGGGCCATTCTGGCCCAATTCACTCCCAGGTCGGGGTTGTCTTGGGTAGATCCCCTTTCCACCCTGCCCCTGCCACGGCCTGCTCTGGTCCAGTCCCACAATCCAGTTACCTTCAGCAGCTGGTTTAGCCTACACAATGGCCAGAATTACAGAAGAATGTCTCTACCCAGCCAGGAAAACTGCACATAACGCTGAGGGCAGGCCCTGAAAAGCTCTACTCCCTCCCACCGCACCCCAAGTCAGAGCATACATAGACTCAAAATAGAGAAAATAGAAACTTTATTTTATTTAATGAGAGGTTTCTGGGTTCAGTAGCCCTGTTGTGTCACCCTCCCACACCTGAGACCCTCTGGGTCCCCTCCTCAATTCAGTCAGTTCCATGAGGGGATTGGGTTGTGCCTGTTACTCTACATACTTCCCCCAGGCTTGGCCTCCAGGTTCCTTTCCTCCTTAAAGATCTCCCCCCTCAAAAACACCGAGCACCCAGACATGGGGGAGTTGGGCTCCTGAGGGAAGGAAGGGGTATACCCAGAATAATCAGAACCTTCCCAGCTCCCCACGGGGTATAATTGGCCTTAAGTCTGGTCACTGGCCACTTACCTGGCCCCAGCTCCTCCTTCTCTCAGGGGTGATGGATGAGTGTTTGGGCCTCTAAGGAATAAAATGACATTTTCATGGCCCCTCTACTTCAGGGAAGACTTCAAGGCTAGGAGTCTTCCCAGAAAACAATTCAAATCTTGGGGGAGGGGGAAGAGAAAGACCACTTAAAGGCCCCCAACTCACCCTTAGGAAAGTACCATCCCCCTACACCTTTAGGCAAACAAACCAGTCGCACTCATTGGAGGGGCAAGGCTTGTCTCTGCAGAGAGAAATCTTTATTGTCCAAGACCCAACTCAGCTGGGGAGTTAAGAAAGCTGGCATACACAGGGAGACTGGGAGTAGCTCGGGTGGGTAGGGACAAGCCAGGCTCTTTATCCTCTAACCCACCCCCACCCCATTTGTGGGCCACAGAGAATAAAAAGAATCAAAACAGGTTCAGATTCAGAAAGCCAGGTGGCCCCCTTACCCTCTCCATGAAGGGGTAGGGCCAGGAGGCCAGGGGCACTACACAGATTTGGGGGTTGATCTCTCCAGTTGTTGAGTTGTTTTCAGGTGTGTCCAACCTTCCCTGATCCCTTTTGGGGTTGGCAAAGATATTGGAGTGGTTTGCTATTTCCTCCTTCAGCTCATTTTATAGACTAGGAATTGAGGCAAACAGGGTGAAGTGACTTGCCCAAGGTCACACAGCTAGCAAGTGTATGAGGCTGGATTTGAGCTCAGGTCCTCCTGACTCCAGATCTGGCACTGTGGCACCTAGCTGCCCTTAGCTCTCCTAGCCTGTTAGTAACCCTTCTCTTCCTAAGGCCAGATCTCCATCCAGTTCCTACGAGATCAGGTCTTCCTTGGGGGGAGTGACTGGGGAGGAGGAAATCCAGGCTGCTTATGCACGTTCCATGGGGCATTTGGTCTTCGAAGCTGGGCTGGCATCATGCCCTCTGTGTGTCCTCAGCCCCCATGCCTAAACAAGTTCTAGAAAGCCAAGATGGCAAATTTCTTCACTGCATGTGTCCAGATAGCTGGCTTGCCATGCTTCAGTGTCCCCCAAAATGTCTTAAAACTCTTTCCTTTCCAGGGCCAATCTTGGCCCACCTGACATATACTCAGAGGCAGTGAGAGGCCCTCATCAAGGCTGTGCATCAGAGTGGCCCCAGGAGAGGTTATACTGTAATTTCCCGTGTGCCATTGTTCAAACACGACCAGGTTCCTGTACAGGAAATTTCTCACTGCCCCCTCCCACAGTCACACTTGTTTTGGCGACACACCACACACATCAGCCCCATATCGATGCCACCCTCCCCCACCTTGTTCCTCAGGCTTGGCTCTGAACAGCCTTGACCTGTCCCCCGCCAAGGCACATGCACAAAGGGAGGTGACCCTTCAGAGACTGTTCTTATGGTGGGCAGGGAGCCTGGCCTGCAGGGGTTTTTAGCCACAGCTGGAAGAATGGGGTCTTGACAAGACTGTTAAAAGAACTGAGGACTAGGTTGACCCCATGCTGTGAACCACCCCCACCCCCCAAGGCTGTGGCTCCCCGTTGCTCCCTCTAGGCCGGGCTTGATCAGTACCAACTCCTTTAGACACCCCAAACCCCGTCCCCACCCTCAACCCAACAGCAAATAGGTAAGCAGCATCTAACAGTGCTAGAGCCTGATGCGGTTGGGGATAGATCCATGTTTCCCCTAGCTGGCTCGGGTTCCAGAGGTGAGGATGGGGAACCCCGCTCCTCCACCCCTCTCAGCTCAGCTACAAGGCAGCCAGGTTGGGTAGGTGGAGTGGCCACAGGCCAGCAGTGGCTGGAGGGGGGTCACATAGTAGTTGAGGGCAGGGGCGGCCCCATCACTGCCAGGGTAGGAAGTAGGTTGGTAGTGCCAGGCCAAAGCAGTGCCACCCACAAGGCCCTGCTCCGCCAGCGCCCTCAAGGCCAGCATGGCGATGAGGTCCAGCGTCTGGCGCCGCTCGTGGCCCATGAGGCAGACAGTGCTCTCGTTCACCACCCGGTGCAGGGTCACCAGGCAGGCATAGCAGGCAGGGCCGGCGCCCCCACCAAAGTGGGCCTGCAGGTAGCGCTCCAGCTTGCGCCTCTGCTCCCCCAAGTCTGGGAAGTCGATGAAGAAGCGCGAGCACATGTAGCGCTGGAGGGCCTGCGCGTCGGTGCCAGGGCAGGGCCGGAAGCCGCGCACGAGGAGGTGGCAGTACTTGAGCAGGCCCCCGCCTCGGATCTCCTCGGGATTGCGGGTGGCAATCAGTCGCTGCCGCAGGTGCGCCAGCGCCTCGTCGAAGTCCCCGTACAGGCTCTCGCCCATCACTGTTGGGTGGAAGGCCTGAGACATGGGCGTGGACGAGCACTGACCATACAGAAGCATGGAGTCCAGGATGATCTGGAAGGAGTCCACGCTGAACTCAAACTGGCGTCGCAGGCGGTCCACAAACTTAAGCTCCACGTTCTTGCCACTGTTGTTGGACAGGGAGATGAGGCTCCAGCGGTCCGTGTCCGTGCACACTTTGACCAGCTTCTGCACATAGGCCTCCGTCAGGGTCTGGGGCGTGATCTTGGCCCGGTTCACACCGGCTGGGAGGAGGTCCAGGAGGCAGGCCAGCACGGCGTCTCGCACCAGCTGGAAGGCAGCCTCGTCCTGTAGATCCACTCGGAAGATGAGATCCACATCCTTGTAGCCCAGGCCGTTGTCTGGGTGGAGGACGTGGCTGGCAGCGGAGCCGTTGAGGCGGACGCTGTGGACGGGGACCCTCAGCTGCTCCAGGCGGCTCCGGACCACCTGAAGAGGAGAGAAGGGAGTGAGACCAGGTGAGCACAGCCAGAGGTGAAGGATCCCCTGGAGGGAAGGCCCTTCCTGGTGAGGAAGACTCTGCCCTGATGGATGGGGGAATGATGGAGGGATGGGGGAAGAAGACAGTTATCACCACCTATACTTGTCAAGCACCGGCTGTTTGTGGGACACTAAACTTGGCAGAGGCGGAGGAAAGCCACAGGATAAACGCAAAGAATTGTGTAGCACAGCAGACCTGGCTTGGGAAAGGGCCAAGAGACAGGAGGCCTCGTCCTAACTTTGTCACCGACTCGCTTGGTGACATTGGGCAAGTCACTTCTGTCATCAGGACTCAGAAAGAGTGGTACTCTACTGACAGTAACGGCTGTTTATACCAAGCCTGCGCTGGATGCTGCTGGGTTCAGTTAGGATAAATTGGAATCTTGACTCACAGCCATATCACCTCTGGGGAGACCTTGGGCAAAACACTGAATGCCCGAGGCTCAGTTTCCTTTTCTGAGAAATGGGGACAAGAGCTCTTCTCCCACAAGGTTGTGGTGAGGATCAAATGAAATCATGTGTACAAAGCCCTTTGTAAGGCTTAAAGCCCTATTTCAGCACCTGTTACTCTTAGCTGTATAAAAGGCCTTCTTCACAAAACCTTGGAATGTAAGGAATGCAAATATACCCATTTTGCAGATGAAAGCAGGTGCCCAGGGTAATAGCCACTAAGTGGCAGGACTCGGGGGTCCTGGTTCCAAGTCTAGGGCTCTTTTGACTGCTGGCATCAAATCCTACCCAGCCTCTTTTACAGTATTTTCAGCACAGTGAAGAATCCAAGGCATTTCTGAGTCAGAAAGCAGCCAGATGTCATCACTGAGTCAGTCCCATCCCCAAGAGAGAAGCTTCCCTTCAGCATCACTGGTGAGTAGTCTCCTACCTTTGGCTCTGAAGGGGGAGCTCACTGCCTCCTGAGATGGCCCCATTCCTCCGTCAGAGGACTGTCAGACGGTTTTCCCATGGGCCAAGCCTCAGTTTGCTACCTACTTCTCCAGGTTCTGCCATCTGAGGCCAAACATGAGTCTTCGCCCATGAGAGCCCTCCAGACACTGGAGAACTGCGAGGTCTCCCCAGGAACCTCCTCTTCTGCAGGCTAGGCATTGCAAGCTCCTTCCTCACATGGCACAAAGCCGATGGCTCTCACTGTGTTCTGCACTGGTGGCCTCCTCCCAACAGGACAGCCAAGAATACATGCAAAGGGCTTTGCAAAGCTCTGTATTGATGGGAGCTGTTATGGGAGTCAAGGTACTCTGGAATCCATCCATCAATCAATCAATCAATATACCTTTGTTAAGTACCTACTATGTGCAGCTATGGTGCTACGGAGAGTGCCTGGCCTAGAGTCAGGAAGACCTCTTCCAAGTTCAAATCAAACCTCAGACACTTACTTACTAGCTGTGTGACCCTAGGCAAGTCACTTCACCTTGGTTGCCTCAGTTTCCTCATCTGTAAAATGAGCTGGAGAAAGAAATGGCAAACCTCTTTAGTACCTCTGCCAAGAAAACCCCAAGCAGGGTCATGAAGAGTCAGACATGACTTGAAAAATGACTGAACAACAAAGCACCTACTATGTACCAGGCACCGACTTAAGCAAATACTACGCACTTCTAAAGTGCATTTTACAAACATGATGAATAACTGCATACCCCGTCTAACAGATTCAGGAAGACTTAAGTTCAAATTCAGACACTTGCTAGCTGTAGGAACCTGAGTGAGACACTTCACCTCTGTATGCCTCAGTTTCCTCATTTGCAAAATAGGGATAATAACTGCACCTATCTCCCAGGATCAAATGAGAGAATATTTGTGAGGGGCTTTGCAAACCTCGTATTGTTATATCAATGCTAGCAATTAGCAATTTCTATTATTAGGAGAGAAATTAGAGCTAAGATTCCATTGGTATATGGAATTCCCTTTACCAATGCAGGTTAGTACCTCCTCAGCAACTTCAGAGTCGTAGAAAGTTGTCAAGGGCACTTGAGAAGTTAAATATTTGTCAGCAGCAGAAGGGGGAACCCAGGAATTCCAAGGCTAGCTTGATGCTTTCTTCATTACACACCACTGACTGTGATTATCAGTCAAAGTCTGCTCAGATAAAATCTGGGACCATTGAAGCTCCTTTCCCTGCATAGGGCCAAAGCTCTCTAACAGCTGCTTTTTGGGGCAAAGCCCAGGCAAAAATGGAAGAATAAGGTTGAAGAGTGTTTGGGCAAGGGTTTGGGGCAGCCCGAAAGAATTGGGCTGGCTAGGAATGGTCCTTCAAGAGCAATAATGCTCAAATGATCTAATGCTCCTAGACCCCCAAATTCTTCTGCAACTTCTTCTCCAGCTTGGTGCTAAGTCCTGTATGGCTTCCCTCCCTAACTGTGAGCTGGTGCAGATAAACTATATAAATGCCTGGGAGACATGAAGTAATCAAGTAATACAAGCTGGGTGGGGTCAAGTCAAGGAAGACTTACTGGAAAGGGGAGGGGATGGAGGTCAGAGATGGGTTTGGAAGAAGAAGGGTGGGACATATAGTAGTGGAGGAGGGGAAACTCAGGACACCTGAAAGGGGAAGCATGGGACCATGGATGTAGGATTGGAAGGAAACTTACTTAGATGGTCCAACCTTGCCATTTCACAGATGGGGACACTGGGGCCCAGAGACATTAAGTCACTTGCTTGGAATCACACAGCTAGTTAGTAGTAGAGCCAGGACATAAACCCTGGTGCTCTGATTCTGATGTCTGTACTTTTTTCCCCTAAACCACATTGTTTCTCTCAAAAGCTGGAGTTGGGTGAAAATTCAGAGCTGAATGGTTCCCCTATGGACAAGACCCCTCTTGATGGGAAAGGAAACCTTCACCTCCTTGCCCCAGTGGAGGTCCCGTCAACCCCGCCATGGCCACCCCCATGTTGATAGCAGCTATTCAGAAGTCTACAAGACCACAGAGGTCCTCAGGCCCCAGGAATTCTCTGGTATTATCACTAATCATGTGTGGGTAGGAAAATCAGACTACACCTAGAGATGAAAATGTATGAGACCTATGGCTTCAGGGGGTGAGAAGGGTAGATGGGTGGGCAGGGCTCAGGGATATCCAGGTATTGGGAGCTGGGCCCCAGCCCTGACCCTAGCCATTGGGTAGATGCCCAAAACTTTGGAGGGGTTTGGGGGAGAGCTCAAGCAAGTCACTGCTTTCACTCCGCCATCTTGGCTCCACCCCCGATGCCCAAAACTTTGGAAAATGAGATATGGACAAGAATGGAAATCAGTTGACTTGGGTTCTGTTAGGTCTGTTATTGACCTTGGGTAAGTCACCTATCTGAGCCTTAGTTTCTTCATCTGCTAGAATAGGGGTACTCACATGCTTTCCCTCCCAGAGGGTAGGGTTGGGAGGATCAGGCAAGCTAAGGGATATAAAGCACTTTGAAACAGAGGAAAGGAGTTTCTTCATCTGAAAGGGAGATGACTGGCCCACATATGAGCTCTCATTGTAGCTGGGGCCAGCTGCACCATCTGAATGACCAGTGAGGACCAGGAAGCCTTTTGATCCAGATGTTATAAGGATCCAGACAGGCCTCATCTTCTTTCTTCTGCAGCCGAAGGGGTAAAGATAACAGTTCCCGCCCCCTCCCCCAACCAATGCCCATCTGTGTAACAAATAATAATGATTTCCAAAGCATTTTTTAGGCTCTTAAAGTAGCTCTCTTAAAACCAGCTTGTGAGGTAAACAGTATGATGATATCTCCATTTTTACAGATGGGGGTGGGGCTAAAGGGCTGAAATAATTCACCCAAGGTCCTACAGCAAGTGGGAGAGCTGAGATGTAAATGGGAGACCCCTATCTGTAGGTTCAGGACTCTTTCCATGAACTAGAATGCATTGTCTGTGGGAAGCTGGGGGAGTGGGGACAGTGCTCACACCGACCTTTTTTCCTTTCACTGAGAGACAACCAAAACCACCTGTAGGCAGCACCCAAGCTGACTTGTCCCAAACACTGATGCCAATCTGTCTCTCCCCCCACCCCAGGGCTGGGGCATCTGGCTGGGTGAGGAGGTGGCTCTACTCTCATTAAATCCTCCAGCGTCAGGGCTTGGGGCCCGCTGTGTCAGCCGGCCTAGAGCTGTTGTCTCCCAGGTGTGACGCCTCAGATACTGACACACCCACGGGTGCCTCTGAGGAGCTTAGCTCTGCCCCAATTTGAGACTTTCCAATGACTGAGGGGGCAGCCTTGCTTGCCTGCTGCCAGAGAAGGCCCCTCTTTCCTCTGTAGGGCACTGAAGTGGCCCAGTTAGGGGGTGAAGGAAAGAGATAAGCTCCCCACAGTGAGCACAAGCTGTTCCGGCATTCATTGCACGTGCCGCTATGTCTGTAAGGTGCTAGTGACACCCCTTCTCATTCTAAAAGCTGCAATGGGGGCCCGAGAACCAGGAGGCCTCAGGATCCCAGAACTTGAAGAGACCTCAAAGGTCATTTAAGCCAACCCCTGTTTGCCCATGAATGTCCTGAAAAACACTCCCAAGTGATCACATCACTGGAGATGCCTCTGGAGATAGCCCACTTTACTAGGAAGGAACTCCTAGCACACAGTAGGTGCTGAACTGAGGTTTGTTGACTGCCCAATTTGTCAGAAGTGCCTCACCACAACTTGAACCATTCCCTCCTCATTTTGCCCCTTGGGGCCAAACTGAGAATCTAATCCTTATTCCACATGAGGCAATCCCCTGCCTATTGGAAGGGAGCTATGGCATTCTTCCTTCTAAGCCTTCTCTTCTCTAAGCTAAACATCCTCAGTTCCTTCAGGCCATCCTTATATGGTATGGTCTCCAGTCCCTTCTTCCAGTCCAGTCAACCCCGAGTTGCCATAGTTGGCCACAACCTGCCTGGGTCCCAGCTGCTGGAGAGCATCCAGCCGACCCAGAGAGCCCTGGACGTTGCTTTCAGAGCTTACCTGCACCTGAGACCCTGCCAGATGTGACCAACCTAAACTCATGCCCCTGAGAACTGGCAAGCAAGCAGTCTATGGCATGAGTACAATGCCAAGAGCTGGGGGTAGGTGGGTCCATCCTATCATGAATACTCAGCGGCAGGAAGGAGTGCTTAGTTGCTGATTCCAAAAGGCATCAGGAAGGACAAAATCTTTGGGTCCCAGCCCCTGATTCTGCTAGAGTCTGGGAGAAAGGATAAGAAAGCAAGGTCCCCCGAGCCTCGTTCATATGTAGATGCTATAGCTGCACACTCTCCCCCCACCACCCCAGTTTCCCCTTTCTCTCCTTCATCCCCCAAGTCCTGGCTTCCCTCTAAATTCATAGAGCTGCAGGGACCCTTGGGAAGATATATGAAAAAAGCATTATAGTAAAGAAAAACTACAGAAAAAGATTCCAGAACTCTGATCAATGCAATGACCAAGCAGAAGACTTTAGAAGACTGGCTGACAGTGAAGCCTGCCTTCTACTTTTCAGGAGAGAGGTGGTGGACTACAAGGACAGAATTAGGCATACATTTTCAGACAATGTCAATGTGTTGATTGGTTTTCCTTGATTCTGCATGTTTGTTATGGGGGGGATGTAGGGGGGAGAAAGAGGAATGTGAAAAAGAGGAAGGAGCAGCAATAAAACATCTAAAAAGTAAAGGGGGGGGAAGGAAAGAAAATCTTGAATTTAGAATCAGAAGGCCTGGTTATGACATTTCCTAGCTCTGTGACCTTGGGCAAGTCACTTCCCCTTGAGTCTCTTGTTTTCCCATCTGTGTAGTTAAGAGGTTGGACTGTGTCTATAAAGTCCCTTTCTGGTCTGCTAACATTGGGATTCTGAGATCATCTAGTAGTTCAACTGCCTCATTTTATTTTGTTTGTTTCGGCAATATTTCCCAACAAGCACTCCTCCTGAAATATACTACCCAGAAATCAATGTGTCAACTGTTAGCATAGAGCAGGTAGGTCACCTAATCATAGATTTCAAACTGACAGCATTCTTAGGTCTTCTAGTTTGTGTCTCTCCCCCTCCCCCCTTTTACAAATGAGAAAACTATGCCTTTCTATAGAAATGAAAACAGGCTCAGAGAGGGCAGGGGACCCTCCCAAGGTCACACTGTGAGTTGTTGCTGGAGCCAGGACTCAAACTCGGGTCTCCTTGCTTGCAGCCTAAGGGTCTTATTTCTCGCCTCTTTGCAGGAGGGCAACTCCCAAACTGGGCAGAAGCCTGGGTCCAACCCCAGGTATTTAGAGACAGGAGGACTGGACTGAATCCCAGACAGGGAATGGGGGTGGGCGGGAGCGAGCATACGGACCCATCGAGGGATTCACCAGCCTGGCTCTGGGCCACCCTCCTGGCACCAATCCCTAAAACTGTAGTCAGTGCCCTCATGGGTTTGGGAGGGGGGTAAGGGGCACACCCTGGGCAGCTGAGATGGCAGCTGAAGCCAGGGAGTGGCCTGGCTCACCTGGGCAGCCACTGCTCTGAGATGACAGTAGGAATCCAGGCTGGATTTTCCTGTTTCTTTAAGATGGGGACTTTCCCCTCAGCTCCAGAAGCCCAGGCTTGGGTGCTGGGGTGGGAGGGGAATCTGTGCTGCTATGGCCTGTTCCAGGGCAGCTCCAGCTGCAGAGGGGACCCCAGGACAGCCTCCCCATCTCAGAAAGATAAGACCCTAGATCCAGTGAAGAATGCTGAGACCCAACAGAAGGCAACCTTCTACCAAGGCATTGGGTGGGGTGGAGGTAGGGGGGTGGGCAGAGGTAGAAGAGAAGGAAAGAAGAGTAAGGAATAGGCTAAAGCCCCTCCAGCGCCTTAGGGCAACCACTGGGAGGCAGCCAGACTCCCTCATTCCCTCCTCCTCCCCCACTAGCATGCTGTCTGCTGGGCGTGTGCAGCCCCTGGCTCTTGTCCAGCCACGGGTTTCACCGTCTCAGCACATATCTCAGTTGGTGTATTCCAGCCCCCAGCCTGTTAGCCTGACTGAGCAAAGGGCAGAGAAGGGACCTCCAGTTGAGGGTGGAGATGGGAGGGAGCTAGCCCTGAATTTCTGGTCTGGGTGAGCTTTCACCCTACTGTGAGGGGCCCGGGGTGGGGAATGAGGAGGAAGGGAGCTTAATTCTGTGGCAGAACACCCTACAGCCCGACCCGTCACTGCCCCTCCCCACCTGCGGGACTGTTCTAGCACCATCTCTGAGTATCCCTTTGCAGGGACAGTTTAGCCCGATTCCAGCCACCCACCTCCAAGCCACACTAATCCAGCCTCCCAGGCTCAATGGGGCCCGAGCCCGCATCTTTTCTCATCTGCAAAACAAAGCCGAACTAGATAATTTCTAAGGTCCCTTCCAGGGCTAACATTTCAAGATTCTTAGCTCTAACATTCCATGTTCTAAGGTCCCTCCCAGCTCATACATTCCGAGGTTCTGAGTTCCCTCCCAACCCGGACATTCCAGGTTCTAAGGTCCCTCCCAGCTTTGACATTGCACGTACTAAAGTTTCCTTACTACTCTTATTCAAGGTTTCTCTACCCCAACTGCGCCTAGAGGGAGGCGTGTCCAGCACCCCCAGTCCTTTGCTGCAACCATCGCGGGGAGAAGGGTCGGGAGAGAGCAAGGGGGAGAGAGGGACGGCCAAGCCTTGGGCACTTGAGTCCCGCACTCACCTGCACGATTTGGCGCGGCTGCACGGTCAGCGTGGGGAAGTTACCACGTCCGTGGATGGGGACCTCCTCGCCCAGCAGGGCATCCAGTCTCTGCACCTGCGTCCAGCTCAACCGGCTGAAGCGCCGTCGTGGGACTCCGGAGGAACGCTCCGGGCTGAGACCCCCTCGTTTATGGGTAGAGGCTGCCGCGGGAGTGACCAGGGCCGGGGGCGCCGCTGCAGCCGCCGCCACCGCTGCTGCGTCCGGGCTCGCAGCCCCGCTCTCAGACGGCATCTCTGGCCAGACCCAGGAGCCTAGACGGCAAAAACCGGGAGTGGAGAAGAGAACAGGGGGGAGGGAAGCAGGCGGTTGTTGGGAAGGGGGCGGCGGCTCTGCGGGCTCCGGCCCCGACGTTCCCACACAACCGACGGGGTGGACAGGACAGAAAGCCGATTAAGGTGCGCTGGGGCCGGCTCATATAGGCTGCCCCCCGCCTGTCCATTGGTCCGCCGAACTGTCGATCAATCCCCTCTCCACCCCCGCCCCACCCCACCCCCGCCCTTCGGGCTGTCATTGGGCGGAGAGGATTCCACTGGCTTTGCATGAGCGTCACCGCTCGCCCCAGGCGGCCAGAGATTGGCTAAAGAGTGTACCCCTTCCCCACCTGATTCCGAACTCTCCTTTGGGCCGGCCAAGGGATTCCACTCTCGGATAGGTCAGGGCTGGGCAGCTCTAAGAATTAAAGGGACCGCCTTAGGCGGCCGACTGGACGGAGAAATTTATAAGAAATAGTGGAAAGAGTGAGTTTATAGCAAGGGACAGTAGTGTGTAAACAAGGAGACCTAGACTATCAGAGCTGGAAAGGATCTTAGAACAGAGAATGTTAGAACGGGAAGATAAAATATCAGGACTTGGAGGGCCTTCTGGCCCAACCCCCTAGTCTTTCCGATAAGGTAATTTATAGATTAGGTAACGACTGCCGAGCCGTATTGGAGAGAGGTCTGCCTCTGGAGTCCGAGGACCTCGCCTTGCTATCTCTGGGTGACCTTGGGCTAATCTGGTAATCTCAGTGGGCCTCGCCTTCCTCCTTTGTAAAATGAAAGGGGTGGGGGAGGGAACCTACGTGATCTCTAAGGTCCCTAACAGCTCTAATTTCTATGAATGAGGTCTGGAGAAGAGACTTGTCCAAGGTCGGTACTGCCAGTGGGGAGGTCCGATAGCAGCTAGGGGGTGAGGGGTGAGGAAACCGGCCAGTCCTGGCCACCCAAAGCAGTGACTGAACTGTCAGGAGCCCTCCATAGCGGCTGGGATCTGAGATGAGGGCGACCGCGTGTCCCTGCCCCCATCTCTTTCCTCGAAACTTTGTGGGACTGGAAGGTTGAATGTACAGTGTTTTGGCTTCTTCCCAACCCCCCTCCCTTCTCTCCTCTTCTTCGCTTCCTTTTTCCCTGGTCTCCTCCTTCGTCTTTTTCTCTCTCCATCCTGTACTCTAGACCTTGGCCCCAACCTGGGAGAGGGAAACAGGGGCTAGCTTGCTCAGAAGAGAGTTGGAGACGTTACGTACGTGAAAGCACATTTCTGGATCAGCTGTACGTGGAATTCATGTTTCCCAGGGCCCCCATATCCGCTGATAATAGCGAGTTGGCTGTCTGTGGAGCACCAACAATCTCAGTATTCTCCCTCCCCCTGCTCCTTCCTGTCTACCCTTCCTCCTTTCAGGTTTAAAAGCTATCTCCTCAAGTGAGAACAAAGGTCTCAAGTCCTTCTCCTTCCCCAGAACGGCCCTAGCACCTTGGAGAGCCCTAGATTTCCACATGTGAAGCCATTTCTCGAACCAGGGCGCCTTCTCCCCACACACTCCCCACCCTCTCCCCTTCACCATCTCTGGCCACCAGCCCTGTTCTTGAGAAGCCCGACTCCCTTTGTCCTTCCCCAACTGAAGTGTCTCATTTCCCACCACCTTCATCTCCTTCCCGCCTGGAGGATGGAAAGCCCCGCCTTTGGCTTGGTCTTTTCTCTAAAGATTTTCTCACTAAATACTGCTCTTTGAAAGCGGAGGCTGTTTTTTATTTTATCTTTTAATTCAATTCCGTTTGATTACAGCTAGGTGGAAGAGGTTGGTAGAACCATCCTCCCTGTAAATCGGGCCTCTGATGTCCCCTGGCCGTGTGACCTTGAGCAAGTCAATGTTCTAGGCCACTCATCCAGACTAAATGGCAGAAAGCAGAGTGATCTGCACTTGTACTGGTCAGAGACTCCTCAATACAACAAAATCACCTCGCCTGCCACTCACAAAATGCCCAACAAACTGAAACCTCCGGCTACTGCCTAGCAGTGGAGGCATAAAGAGGATTTTTAAAAATGAAAAACATTTTTTCAATGAACAAAAACCAATTTTCTCTTTCTCATCTCCCCCAACATTGAAAAGGAAAAATGAAAAAAAGTAACAATTTTTTTTTTGTTTTCATTTCTGTTTTTAAAGTATTCAAAGCTGAAAAGGAAAGCTACTGTCCTAAAGAAGGTTTTGTTCTACTGGCTAGTAGTAGAACCCCCCCCCCCCCAATAATTTCATAGGGGGAAGTACTGACAAGTGGGGAAATCTGGAAAGACCTGTGGGAGAAAGGGGCAGGTGAGCTAAGTCAGTCAATAAGCATTTATTAAGCACCTTTTGTGTGCCTTCTGCCAAGTACTTGAAGAGGGGATTCCATGAAGGGGAGGTAAAAAGAGAGAGTCCCTTGGGTGAACAGCTTGTGCAAAGCTATGGAGGTGAGAGATAAAATGTTGAGTTAAAGAAAGGGTAAGTAAGATAATTGGCTGGAACATAACTGTGCATGAAGGGAGAAATGTGAAATTGGCCTGGAAAAGTAGGCTTTAGTCAGATTAGGGATGGGGGAAGGGGGAATAGTGGAACTTTATTTTTCTTTCCTTTTTTTTTAATAAATTTTTATTCATTTTAAACTTAAATACAAAATGAGAAAAGAAAAAAAAGGACATTTCCATGTACACAGCAGAACATGAGAGGATCCAATATAAAATGATAATTTCCATTTCAAGAATACATATTAAATATATGTATATATATTAAATACTATGTAATATATATTATATAATAAATTCTACACATTGTTTTCAAAACTATCCAGTTTTTCTTTGCTTCCTTCTAGTTTTTCTTTTGTTCTCTGCTGTGCACTATGGTGGAACTTTCAATACCAAACAGAGCAGTTTGTATCTTGTCTTAGAGGTCATAGGAAAGAGGGGCTTCAGGATTGACCTAAAACTGGAGGGGGGTGGGGCAGGTGGCTGGAACTGAAATAGAGGGTGGGCACTGCTAAGTATTGGCTGAGGCGTCTGACTTTTCTGAGGGATGGACCACTGGTATGTGTGAAGGTGAGCAACTTATAACCTAGGACTCACTCATTCTACACTGAAAGGAACCTTATTTACTGCTCCCCAGAGCCTACCCCTGACTCAAGCTCTAGCCCAAATGCTGCCTTCTTCAAGAAGTTTTCTATGATTCCTTTAGTCCAACAGATCTCAAACTTTTTGGTCTAAGGATTCCTTTACATTTTTTTTGGAGGCAATTGGGGTTAAGTGACTTGCCCAGGGTCACACAGCTAGTATGTGTCCAAAGCAGGATTTGAACTCAGATTAGGCCCTCCTCTGACTCCAAGGCTGGTACTCTATCCACTGTACCAGCGAGCTGATACACTCTTAAAAACTGAGGATGCCTCCCACATGTACAAAAATATTTATAGCAGCTATTTTTGTGGTGGCAAAAAAATTGGAAATTCTGGGGGATGCCCATCAATTGGGGAATGTTTGAGCAAGTTGTGGTATATGAATGCAATGGGACACTATCATGCTATAAGAGATGATGAGCAGGCAGACTTCAGAAAAACCTGGAAAGACTTTTATAGGAACTGATGCTGAGTGAAATGAGGAGAACCAGGAGAACATTGTACATAGTGACAGCCACATTGTGCAATGGCTGACTTTCCTTCTCCAGCTCATTCTATAGACGAGGAAACTGAGGCAATTGAGGTTAAGTGATTTGCCCAGAGTCACACAGCTAGTAAGTGTCTGAGGCCAGATTTGAACTCAGGAAGATGGGTCTTCCTAACTCCAGACAAGTGCTCTAGCCACTGCACCATCTAGCTGGAGGATGAAATAACAAATCACTCTAGCATCTTTGCCAAGAACACCCTAAAAGGGGTCACAAAGAGTATAAAGATAATTAAACAACAAAATCTACTTCTGCTGCTATATGTTGTTTTAGTTGAAGTACATGAAGAAAAGCAGCCTTGCACAGATACCTAATTGGAAAGGGGAGGAATATTTGTATAGGCAAATGTCTTGATAATATCATGACAAGACTTTTGGCTTCTCAGACTCCCCGAAAGGGTCTCAGAACTCCCCCCCTCTCTTGGAGACCTGCTGCTCCAGTCAGAAGACATCAGTACCCCTAGTTTGTAGCTGTGTGACTGTGGGCATGTCATTTCCTCTCTCTGATCCCCAGTTTCCTCATATGTAAAATGAGAAGTTTGGAGCAGATGACTTTTAAGGTTTCTTCTAACAACAGAGGCCTTTAGGTGGCTAGGTGGGTAGAACTATGGGGCCTGGAGCTGGAAAAACCTGAGTTTAAATCTATTTTCAGATACTTGCTAGCTGTGAGACCCTGGGCAAGTCACTTAACTTCTATTTGCCTCAGTTTCCTATGTAATAACACCTTTTTTATATATAACCTATATAATAACACCTATCTCTCAGGGTTGTTGTGAGGATCAAATGAAACAGTATTGGTAAAGTGCTTAGCAAAGTTCCTGGCTCATAGTAGGTGCTGTAGCAATGCTTATTCTAGATCTATCATCTATTGTTGTTTAGTCGTTTTCATTCATATCCTACTCTTCATGACCTCTTTTGGGATTTTCTTGGTAAAGCTACTGGAGTGGTTTGTTATTTCCTCCTCCAGCTCATTTTACAGATAAGGAAACTGAGGCAAATGGGGTTAAGTGATTTGCCCAGGATCACACAGCTAGCAAGCATCTGAGGCTGGATTTGAGCTCATGAAGATGAGTCTTCCTTATTCCAAGCTCAGTGCTTATCCACTGTGCCACCTAGCTGTCCATAATTGAGATTACAATTACTAAATTGATTATAATTTCTAAATCTACAATTAGATCCTTAGAATTTGTTCAGAAAATCATGGAGTGTTGTTTTAGCTAGAAGGCATCATGGACTCTAAGATTTAGATCAGGGGTTCCCTACCTTCTTCTATCCCTTATGCCCTGACTTTCAGTAAACTCTCTTTTTACCCTTTGTTCAATATGAAAGGAAATAAAATGCAGGTCTAATCATGTCACTGCCCTGCTCAGTAATTTCCGGTAACTCCCCCATTACCTCCAGGATCAAATATAAAATCCTCTGTTTCGCTTTCAAAGCCCTTCCTTTTTTTTCCTTAATAGTATTTTATTTTTTTCCAATTACACGTAAAGATAGTTCTCA